AAAAGGAAGATAAGCTAACCTTCTTTTTTTCCCTATTTATCACATTGTTGAGTGGATTCTCTTTCTTTTGGATTAATACGCATTAGTAACAAGGCATACCTTGTAATGAGCGGGAAATTAGCGATGCGTATAAAGATACCAAGGTACCTTTTCGCATCGCTAAGTTCCCGCTGATTTCCCGCTCGTTATCTTCTGTACGTGGTCATTCAGAGCTTTTTGAGATGTTTCTTCCTTCTGCGTTTGCCCGATTACTCTTTGCAATTGTGTTAATTTGTAGCAATTATTATAGTAATGATATAATATTAATATTGGTTTCGGCCAGCCATTAAATTCTTTAAATACTATATGTATATTATATACATATATTAACTACTCTATGATTGAAATTTATATTTAAAATCTAAAAACGCTAAAAGATCTGATTTATTCTAGAACTTTTAGAATATAAAATCTAGAATTATTTGTACGAAATATCTGTACTTCACAAAAGATATTAAAATATATTAGAATTCAATTTATTTAATCTTTTTTGAAATTTTTTCTTTTCAAAATAACAAAATTTCGAAATCTTTTGTATAAATGTTGGAATCGTAGGTTGTAAATTATTCTATTATAAATTCTTGTAAAAAGAAAAGATTTTACTCTACATTCCATAAATCTATGTAGTCCACAAAATTTTTCAACATTCTGCAATCTCTCTTCAATGTCTCCGAAAGGGAGGATCTTCTGATTTCTATAATAAAATTTCGAAATCTTTTGTATAAATGTTGGAATCGTAGATTTTAAATTATTCTATTATAAATTCTTGTAAAAAGAAAAGATTTTACTCTATATTCCATAAATCTATGTAGTCCACAAAATTTTTCAACATTCTGCAATCTCTCTTCAATGTCTCCGAAAGGGAGGATCTTCTGATTTCTATAATAAAATTTCGAAATCTTTTGTATAAATGTTGGAATCGTAGATTTTAAATTATTCTATTATAAATTCTTGTAAAAAGAAAAGATTTTACTCTATATTCCATAAGTCTATGTAGTCCAAAAAATTTTTCAACATTCTGCAATCTCTCTTCAATGTCTCCGAAAGGGAGGATCTTCTGATTTCTATAATAAAATTTCGAAATCTTTTGTATAAATGTTGGAATCGTAGATTTTAAATTATTCTATTATAAATTCTTGTAAAAAGAAAAGATTGTTACTCTATATTCCATAAATCTATGTAGTCCAAAAAATTTTTCAAGATTCTGCAATCTCTCTTCAATGTCTCTGAAAGGGAGGATCTTCTGGTTTCTATAATAAAATTTCGAAATCTTTTGTATAAATGTTGGAATCGTAGATTTTAAATTATTCTATTATAAATTCTTGTAAAAAGAAAAGATTTTACTCTATATTCCATAAATCTATGTAGTCCAAAAAATTTTTCAAGATTCTGCAATCTCTCTTCAATGTCTCCGAAAGGGAGGATCTTCTGGTTTCTATAATAAAATTTCGAAATCTTTTGTATAAATGTTGGAATCGTAGATTTTAAATTATTCTATTATAAATTCTTGTAAAAAGAAAAGATTTTACTCTATATTCCATAAATCTATGTAGTCCAAAAAATTTTTCAAGATTCTGCAATCTCTCTTCAATGTCTCCGAAAGGGAGGATCTGGTTTCTAGCGCCTTGATCCTCTAAATCCTTCACCCTCAGAATCAGAGAGCGCGACCTTTCTTTTTTCGATTGTAACACAATCTGGAGTCTCCTCTGCTCGCGTGTGCAAATATACGAGATAGTTTAGAGCGAAAGCGTATCGGAGTCACGTGTATCCTTATGGGGTGGGTGCGTGTCGCGCGTTTACGCTTCCACATCCCGTTCCGGGCTCTCACCCTCTCGAGTACGCGCTCCTAAATAGCGGGTCGTCGCGCCACGTCCGATCACGTCCTGACTATCAGCGCGAGGATAAAGGGGATTAGTATTTCAATTATTTGCACAATAAGAAGCGTGACCGGGCGGCGCGCGTCGACGGACGATATATCGAGTGGCGGAGTCGCGTGACCATGTTTATTCGCCGTCGAAACCCCCAACGATTGGTCCTTTGAACGCCTCTCTTCTCTTTAATCCGACACCACCCTGGACACGATAATCCAACCGTACAGCGGTAAGATCTTCTCCTAGCTTACCGACTCTCACCTGAGCCAGGTGAGAGTCACCTGGTTCCATCTACACGGCAAAGCGGTGGACAGATTGTGATCGATTGAAAACAATTTTGTAATTTAAAATTTTTTACAAATATATTTTTGGATGGAGAGAAAATTACTGTAATTGAAAATTTAAGGCATACATACAACATACATTTAATGCGCGTCGCACGTGCATTATTGATTTAATCGATTCTAAAGTATCCACCTCTCACAACAGATTCGACGGATTTATTATCATAATTTATGAGAGCGTCTCTGGTCGAAATTTCGAAGATAAGAATTTCAAAGATAAACGATCCCGGACATCAATTAGACATAATAGAATTGTATATAAAAAAATAAACAAGCATTAGATATATACTTTAACTAAATGGATTTACTTAAGGAGAATTTAATTAAAAAAGGAGAAAGACATAAGAAAAAGAAAATGTGTTTTGGTTAAAAATTACATGATACAGTTGCAAAACTAATATTAATTAAATATGCAGCTGCAGTTTTATAAGATATATTAGACAAAAATTAAAGATTTAATATAATTCTATACAGCTGATGACCATCGAGGTGTTTAGATTTGTTCACAGCATGCAGAATATTGTTCGAGACAGAAGAACACGTTGATCGCGATTTCAGCAACGATCGTTGCTCGAGATAGTTGTAATCACCATCGGTGTAAACGTCGGTTTATCGAAATACGAGCGGACATATTCGAAGGAGAAAATTGCCCGGCCTTCAAGGACGTTCACTGCTCCGAAAAGTAGTAGTATCTCGCGTATAATTTCTGTCTGGCGCCAAGATAATGAAGAACCAGTCACATAGTGTCGTTTGCTCAGCATGGCTATCAATCCCGTCCAACGCAACTATTTGGATTATTTCTCGAGTTCCGTTTCGATCGCCGCGAGCAATATTTAACGGATACGGTGGAATTAAGAACGGCTTAAATGTTAGAGATGTCGTCTGCGGCGTAAAAATGTTGGCATGATGAAGCGACTCGATCTTTAATACGATCATCTTTACGTCGATTGACGCTCGAATGTGCGAACTTTGAGGTCTTTGAACTCTACCATTTCTAATCTCAAAGGTTTGTAAAGTTTAGAATTCCTTCACAATCAATCACTTTTTTTCCGTTGTGACGATGTCGAAATAAAAAATGTGTGAAATGTATTATATAATTTCTACGCTCTTAAATTTTTATCCGAGATTATTGACTTTTACAACTTCTCTGATCGTAAAATATGTTGTACAAATTTTACGAGCGTAACAATTTTGCGAGTTATTAAAAGTTTGAAATATGAGTTTGTACCTTCTTTTGTAGCAAACAAACCAGCGAGCCTTCCACAATGAAAATTATTGCGAAGAAATATTGAATTGCTGTCAATATATTTTTTATTATTTTATACACTATCGGATCCTGACATCGATGGGAGGAAGTTTCTACAAAATTATTTAATTAATATTTTTTATTTCATACTTAGCTTTTACTCTAGGATCAACGACCAATTTTTTTTAATTTGCAAGAGGGGATTTAATCCCAAAATTCCCTCGTTCAGGATCCGCTAGTAATTTTATACGATTAAGGTAAAATAATTGAAAGATTTCATCTTTATGGCAATGGATTTATTACAAAGTTGTGAAAAAATGGCGATGGCTGTACATGCAGCATTATACATGATACTTTAATAGTAAATGTTGTCTAGGATACTTATACGAGAGAGAGAGGGAATTCTTAGAGATACTGTCTGTAACATATCGGAATGCTTTAGAAGTGTACATACGGGAGAGTAAAATAGAATAATCGAGATGTTACTTATAATCTACGAATGTGAGCAATACGATACTACGAAAGATATTCGTACATAGTGTCCAAAATTACACATGTGGTTCCACATAGTTACTTGTTCAAAGGAGAAGCGGCAGTGATTTTGGAACACCTGTACTTGCTTCCCGCGAGTTTCGCGGAACGTTTAGGATGTGCTTGCTCGCTTGATATTGCATGGCGAGAGGAACTATCTCAAAGGACTGAGGTAATGAGAGAGAAACGAGCTAGTTTTAAACGCTAAATAAAATAATCGACGCTACGCGATAAAAAGACGAACTTTCTCGCTGATGAGATACTTCCTTTGACGCGGGAGCAACCTTAAGATTCAGGGAACTTACAATTAGAGCTAGGAGACATGCAGAAACGCTGCCACGACAAGTCAGTCCATCCATCGCAACTGCGGGGTCCGGTTTTTCATTCGGAGGGAGAGGGAGTATCCTTGAAGGACCCTGGCAGCTGCAACTTTTTCGTTTACCTCTTCATCGCAGAAGCGTAACCGCAATAAAGCACACGAAGGGAACTCTTAGTCAATTTCGGAAGCTATTAACGTTAAAACATTCAGACACATTCGACGATGTTCGCTGACGACTTTGATATCTCAGTAATATTTTTCTTTTTAATATCGTTGGAATATAAATAATATAGTTTATTGTGCTGTGTATGATTCGACAATAAATTAGATCTAGTATAAAAAAATGTGAAGAATTAAATGTTTGAACTGAATTTTCCTTAGACTTTAAAGACGATAAGAAAGTCTGAATGTTTTAACGTTAACTTTGGCATAATAGCGAGTAATTCGTAAATCCCCTCTTTGACAATTAAATTAATCTCTAATCAATACAGATCTCTTGCCACATACATACACACACTCTTACATTGATAGCATCTTTCTAACACACAAAAAATTATTTTCATTTTATGTCTTGTGAATTAATAATCTCTGATACTTCAATTTATTATTTGAAAGATCACCAATGTAAAAAAAAATATCGTGGGTTTATATTTTTAGTATTGCAATATAAATCTTTTCATAGAATAAAGATATTAAAATATGCCGTTATTTTAACTTCTTAGAATATTTTTGATGTGCTTCGATAGATTATTTTTTTACCGGATATCAGAGATTAAGAATCGCGAGTTTGCCGCGGATATTATCTTCGACAAAGGTATGATTATAATTTTTCTTTATCTATAAAACATTCAATTGCAAACATATACATAAATGCATATTTAAAAATCTGTCAAAATAAAAGCTTCCGAGATATAGTTGTGCTGATATCGCACTGGGATTATACATTTTGTCATGCATTTCGTATATCTCTTTTTTTCCAAACATGCAATTTTCACATATTTATCTAATCAAAATAATGAAGCGGCTATTATCAATTTATTATCCTATTTTTAAAATACCAAAGTATCGTATAATGTATAAAAAAAATTAGAAACTCCAAAATGAATAATTCTGTTGACGTTATAATTGAAAATCGTACAAGATAATCGATGCGTGTCGTCACTCAAGTGCAAGCTCTCACGCACCAGAAACATTGTAACGGTTTCGTTCTCGCTTCGAGAACCTTTGCGAATAACCCGTAAGAAAACCATAACATTCGACAACCACTTCGATCGGTTGCCACAATCGTCAAAGGCCATCGAGCAGCACCGCGCACAAAAGTTCGTACTTTCGCCGTCCAAAGAATAACTTTCATCTGTCAGCATTTCGCAATCAGAATCTGAACATCGAGATTCGACTTTCGTACGTCGGTTTCGGTCGACCTTTCGGTCCTCGGTTCAGTGATACGCGCAACAAGTCGCCTCGTTGTCGAACAGGCTCATCCTTAGATCCTAAAAAAAAATATCGTCCTTAAAATTAATTGTTGAGGCAGTTGAGTTGGCAAGAGCAAAAGAATCAGTCGTGTTCGTCTCGTCGACGACGTCGCCGAAGCCACCTCTCGTCCACCTTCATCCTTCTCTTCCTACTACATTATCGATATGATTTTGTTCACAGAGAGAGAAACTTCATCAGAGCGTCGTAGATCAGCTGCGGATTGATGGTTCCATCAGCGGTGTATCTGACACCGCGCAACGAACCATCATCGTGACTGACGACACCGTATTCGCCCACGATGAAGCCGTCGGGTGTCCTCTCCTCGACCCTGTACTTCCTATAGTTCCTGCCCTCGACAACGTAGCCGACCTTGTGTCCGTCCTCGGACGCACCCGGAGTCTCTTCCGTGACGACCAACTGAGGTCCGTGAACATTACCGTTGCTGCCGACGCTGACCGATTCGTCGATTTCGTAATTTTGCTCGTCTGGTTCACCACCCTGCTGTTGCCGATTCACCGGTTGGCCCTCGGAGTCGTACACCTTGCTAGGTTCGCCGTATATCTTAGCCGGCTGCGAGTAAATTTTGGCCGGCTCGGAATAAACCTTCGCCGGCTCCGAGTAGATCTTGGACGGTTCGGAGTAGATCTTTTCCGGTTCACCGTAGATCTTTGCGGGTTCGCTGTAGATCTTGGCGGGTTCGCTGTAAACCTTGGCCGGTTCGCTGTAGACCTTTGCGGGTTCACTATACACCTTAGCCGGCTCTCCATACACTCGTTCAGGGTCGCTGTAGACCTTGGCCGGTTCGCTGTACATCTTGGCAGGCTCGTTGTAAGTACGTTGCAAGGATTTATACGTCTTGGACGATTGACCGTAGAGCTTCGGGCCTGATCGATTGTAAAGCGGCGCGTCGTAGTGACGTCCCATCTTGTGCCCTTGAAGCTGCCGGTCCGACGACACCTCCGGCAGTTCCTCGTTCGACTCTCGCGGTTCCGAGTTCTCCACAGGCAGCTCGTAATTCTCCTCCGTCGGAAGGGTGATCGCGTCAACGATCTGCGTGGTCTCGTTGGTCTCCTCATTCTTCCCATTCTCCTCTACAAACGCGGCGATCTTCTCGATATGCGGCGTCGTGGTCACGTGACCGCGCCAGCTGGTCCCCAGCGAGTCCTCGTCGACGGAGAACTCGCTTCTGTTGGACTCCGAGACGATGTTGCTGAGCTCCTCGGTGACGAATCGGACCGGCGGCAGCGTCGTCGTCGTTGTCGTCGTCGTCGTCGTCGTCGTCGTCGTCGTTGTCGTCGTGGACGGCAACGTGGAAGGTCTATTGGTGCCTCTAGTCGATTCCTTGCCGATTTCTCCGTTCACCGGAGACTCCAAACTCGGTGGTGATCGTGTTACCACCGCGGAGTCAGCGTTGCCGTAATGCTCAACGCGCACCTTGTACGGGGTAGCTTCGACCGTAGACGTGACGCTCACGCCGATCACCTTCTGGCGGCTAACAATTTTGTTGGATCCACTGGCGGTCCCGTTCGACCTCGAGGTTTGATCGCGGAGGACCGGCGACGCGCTCGTCGTCGTCGTCGTCGTCATCGTCGTCGCGCTCGACGGTGTCAGACGTGTCGAGCTTATGTCGACCGGCGTGCTCAGGACGTCGATCAACGACGCTAAGTTCTGCTGCCGGTGCTCCAGGCTTTTCTGGCTTATAGGATAGAAGCGCACGACGTCGTCGCGATTGCCCGTTTGCGGCCTCGAGATCAACCGAGTAGGATTTTGAGATATTCGATAGATGGACGCCTCGTGCTGATGCGACTCGGCTGGCGCGCTGTCATCCCTGGGCGCGGTCACGTGCTGATTGCGCCGGAAACCTCGACGGCGCCCCGGCGTCGGTGCCATGGCACCGTTTATGAAGACAGAGAGAAATTCCGTGCCGGCGAGAACTTCGCTCTTTTTCGCCGGAGCACCGCGCGTCTCCTCCCAGACCAGTGTCGCCTGGAACACTATCTGAAAGATAGATATTGTATAGTTTTAGTATAATGACATTTATAAGTAATTTATTGTTAAATTTTATTAACCTCTAATTTTAATTGTATACGCTGAAGAAGGTTGGAAAAGACAACCGAAACGTTCGAACGAATTTATTTCTGTTATGATATTTAATATGTTGTACATCCTTTGACAAATAAATTATTAATTGATAGAATTTAATTAGCTCTTATTGTCTTTTAGTTGTTGATTAATTTATTAAAAAGCTGTTTACAAATTATACATATTGTATGATTTGATTATATTTTTTCAAAAAATGCGCCAATGAAGAATATAGATTTTTCAAATTATTGATTTAAAAATAATTTTAAAGCAAATTAAAATAAATGAATATAAATGCACGCGAAATCGTTGAAACAAAAGCACACTTTAGATCAGTCGGCGCTCAAATTCCTGTTGAGGGGCGTTAAACTGCTTTTACGTTTGCGGAGATGTACGAAGGACGCAGGCAGGTGTGCATTCGTGCGATTTATAAGTCGTTCAAGACGCGCTCGCTCGTAAAGTCCTTCAAAGACACGCCAGCCATTCTCTCGATGAAAATCTCGCAAATTTTTTTGCAGTCTCGTTGCAATTTCACGACGCATTACTTCCTGTTGTCTGAATTTTGATATTTTCTGCGCAGCTATATATACGAGACTCGCGAGAAGAATGAAAAGAGGAGATTTCGATTTGTACATCCATTTAAGTTTAAAATATCTTCCAAGAATAACACTACACGAAGTTTTTATTATAAATTATTATGGAATTTTAAGAATAAATTATCAGATAATAATAAAAAGCTTTTTATACTTAAAATTTAATACAAAATCAAGTATGATAAGGTTTAATAAGAAACGACGCGCAAATATTAAGCACAACGAGAGAATTATTTCAATTTCATTATTATTTAATTTTAAATATTAATGTAAAATGTATTCTTGGGAAATATTTATATATACGTATTTTGTAATTGTTTTATATAAGATTTATTTATATATATATATATATATATATACACAACGAAATATGATTCTGTAAGATATTTATGAACTATTCACACTGCAATTCTGCGCTCTCGCGATTTATTTGCAACGTCCCGTGACTTTCAGCTATTCAGCATGAATTACGCGGCTAATTATCATCCATCCTGATTTTCAGCCGCTAGCTTATCGATCGTGTTCTTAATCGATTTCCAATCACCGCGCGTATAATAAGATACGTGACTATCGCAACTATAATAAGGTACTTGGATGCTCGAGTTCTTTGTAATCGCGACCTTGACGGATTGCAGGGCATAAGGAACAACGTCACGAGTAGGTACGATATTTATGCGGGAGTCAATGGTTTATCAGAGTCCTCTGCCTCGTAAAGAATCGCGAACGATGAGCGAGATTATCGAGTTTAAACGTAACAGTCCCACGTCTAATAATGCCGGAACCATTATGCGCTCGGGATTCGCATTTGCAAACAATGGCGAGAGAGCCGCTCTGATAGAACGCTCGACGAGAGCAGAAGGTGAATCGTCGCGTAGATAATCATGCATAGAAAATTTCATAATAAAACAAACACGCATAGCAATCAACGTTAATGCAAAGCGTGAAAATCTAGTCTATGTTAATCGACAAAGCACACTGTCTGTATTTACGCTCTTGCTACTTGTAAGCAATTTTAGCCGATACAGTAGTATGAAAAAAAATATTCGTACACGCCGAACCAATATATTCACATGTTTTTCAATTATAGTGATCATCATGGAGGCTATAAATGACTTGGATGAATTTTGCTCAACAATCCGCGCCGACAAAGTTCAGAAAGAGGAAAAAATGTGAGGATATATATTTTAATATCTATGCCGCGAGATACGAGAGAGCGAATCCCTCGATATGTCGGCGTTCGTAATGAGATTCGCTCAACATTGTGAGCGTTTTGAAGCAAATTCGACGGCAATTAGGCATGCGTGTCTCTCACGTACCATAGAGATACCAGTCGCCGCCGGCGAGCGCGGAGCATAAATGCTTAATTTATCTCTTATTACGCGATTGCGCTACGCACATTAGGAGAAAGAACGCACAGGGAGGAGTCGAGCTCGCGAGAAGCGTGTGACGATACGCGGACTGTTTCACATCTTCAGGCGAGGAGCAGAAAATTTATGCGAAAGGTAAGTGTTCTTTTAGAGAGAGAGAGAGAGACACATTTCTTTAATATTAAACATGAGCTTTACATATATTAAATATAAGCTTATTTATTATTAAATGAATTTAATTTTGTGACAAGATATAAAAAATATAAAATTATAAATATAAATTTTCTCCATATGTAAGTTCGAGGATTAATTTATATATGGAACTTAGTAATCTCAAACCAAGAGATCCGAAGAATTAATTTTTCGCGCTTGGGCTCTATTGGCCGATTTTAAATTCATATATTATTATTATTAAAAAATATAAAAATTATATTTAATATTCGTCGACGTAGAAAATTCTTTCAAAACGTGCAAAAGATTATTGAATTTAAATTCTAGAAAATTTTTGAAATTAAATCTGACATCTATAGATCCTCTTAAAATCGCGGTGATGTTTACTCGTCAAGATAACAGCAAACATTTTGAGAATAATTCCGAATATGCGTTGATAGATTTAACATTAAAGAATTAAATTGGTTCCACTTTCAATTAGTTATTAATATACTCAATTCGCAAAATATATTTCGTGACGTTTAATCGTGTTATTACATGACACTTTATGACATGGTGTGCCTGTGCGAAAAAGTAACGACATTTTTTTCTTATTACACACACACACGAGAATCTTCTTGCGGATCGTAGCGGCATAAAATGTGTATACAAGGTTGTGAATTTAAGTTTCCGGACCTCCCCAGTTCGATTTTATTGCCGAGCTTGCTGCAGCGCGCGATTACAGTGTGCTGTTGATTTTTACGACACTGAGAGGATCGCTGCGGTCCTTGCCCTTCTACAAGTATTATAATAATCCGGGGGAGAAAATTAAGAATTAAGCTCGCAGTCCTGCAGTTCGTTTCATTATTTTCACCATCATATATAATTTGAACTTCATTAAGATCGGATACAACCAAATAAATTTAATAAACAATTTATTTGATCGCTTAAATATTATTATAATTTCGATATAAAAGATGGCGCGCATTGATTTTTTCGCAAGCATGACAGCTAACTGTCCTTCTCCTTAAGCTTCTTATGCCGCGGAATTTCTTCAATCGTAAGAACGGCTTTGTTCTATTTTTATGCACGGAACGTGAACATGCAGAGTGCGCCTGAAGCCGCTACTGATCACGTCGCGTTCCTCGCCAACAGGAGAAACGAAGGTGCAGAGAAAGGGCGGGATACGGTGCGAGAGACCTCGCAGCGTGGGTGTACAAACAGCTACTTTACGATGCATGTGGCGAGGCATTATTTTCGCTCGGCTCCGTCGCGTCGTCGAGACTTTTTCACACGAACGGCAAATTTTTACGCCGTTGAACGAAAAAGAAGCGTAATAAATATACGGTGTGATTGATAATATAATGCGCGTGTCAAATATTTATATATCGCCGAATCGAATCCGGACTTGACATTCGAAACGTCACGCGGTTTCTCGTCTCGGCGAATTTTTTTTTTTTCATCGACGACGCTGCTTCATCTCGGCAATTATTTCGCGACGATTTACAGTCCCGCTCGCAGGACTTTATCCTCGCCTTTATTACTTATCGTGCCCTCGCGATTGCGAAACGGAAGACAAAGAGGCGGAGGAGGAGTTGTACTCCGAATAAAGCGGCCGAGATCCGCAAACCGGTACCACCAGTACCATATCCTTGCACCAAACGGCGGGAAATGCACCAGTGTCTCGAGACTAGACGCGCTACTTCTATGAACATGTGTTACGAATGCATAAAATTCTGTATGCGACGCTGGATTTTATCGAATGATTGAAGAATCAAGTCCGCTCTTTTAATATTCTAAATTAAAATTAATTACACTGTCTCATTTCATCACTAATAAACTTTTTTTTCGAGTTATTTAGTCGAGCAATTTTTTGTGCTCAATATATATCGAAAAAAAACAAGAATAATCGTGAGCCATCGACGAGACTCGAAACTGAAGAATTTTTCTCGCTCGATCTCGTCGGGGTTTTAAAGTACAATTCTCGCGTGTATCATATCGGTATGTGTGTTAAGGTAAGAAAAAATTCTAGCCCATGGGCGACATGCTAAACGGCCGCGCTCGGTTAATTCTTTCTGGGAGATTAATACTTCCCCCGGGATGATTATCGATGCCACAACGGCGGACGATGTTTGCTCGATACTTGCGTATCGGGGGATTAATCATACTGTCTTCGGCTCGTGCGCGTTCTCATAAATTTCGTTTCGCGTTACACACGCGCCCGGGAGAATTATAAATATGCGCAGGATTAATATCCGCCGATTTATAAGGCGTACGGCGAGATGTTAAAAGCAGGCGCGCGCTGCGCTCGAATAGAGCGCGTTGGGTTTCCTGTTGAAAGGAGAACACACGTACTCTCTGTGTGTCGTGCGCGGACACCTCGGGTGAGGTCACCGCAACGGGAGTCGAGTCATTCCCGGGTATGTGCGTCGGATATATCTGCACATGGTCTCTCTCTCTCGCGCGCGCGCGCGTGCACGCACGTTCACGGTATGCATTCTCTCATAATCGATGCATCCCACGCGACAGCGTCGTTTATTAAATGAAAGAGCGACGATCGTGCCGCTCGTGTTACGAGACTTAATATGCGCGATGATTAATGACGCTTCGACGAGGCTAAATTAGACATGTCGCCCGCGCTTTTTTTTTTTTTTTTTACGCGGGATATATATATATATATAATATATAAAAAATATTATATATATATATATATAATGAGGATATTTCCTCAAAAAAATCGATACATTTACGCGGGAAGAGAAAGAAACGTCATAAATAACGAAATAAAAATATATATTTGATATAT